TCAATCTTTAGGAATTGTAGTGAATGTGGGCGAGTACACTAGGCATGTACATGTTGAATGTGTACTTGCCCACTTCAACAGAAAACATGCCCACATATTCCCCAGCTGCCACTGCTATCCTCACATGTCATCACTCACCCTCCAGTCACAAAAAATAGGAACTAATTGCCCTGACATTCTGTATTTAATCCCAGAATAAATATGGCCACATGCCCAGAATTAGATTGTGTATCCACAGTTGTCTGCTGGAATTAAATATTAGAATTCTTCTTCCTATTTTTTTACTAGCCGCTGCTGCTTGTATGCTTCCATGTGATCACATCCCTGGCCACAACAGAACAGAAACAAAGTCTCCATTCACACTAGAGTGTTTTTCCATGCATTTTGCCGGGAATGTACCCATGATTTTACCTCTGAATTTGCCACAATTTTACCCCAGATTTTGCCACGATTTTACCCATGATTTTACCCATGGTTTGGCAGCAATTTTACCCGTGATTTTTTTGTGCTTTTACCCAGAATTTTGCTGCAATTTTACCCAGAATTTTGTTGTGCTATAGTGCTGAGTCACATGACCTATGAAAAGCGTACCCTAAGCATGGTAAAAATCACAGCAAAATCATGGGTAAAATCGTGGGTAAAATTGCAGCAAAATTCCGAGTACAATCGCTGAAAAATTGCAGATAAAAACGTAGCAAAATTACAGGTAAAATCAGAGGTAAAATCATGAGTAAAATTGATGCAAAATCATGGGTAAAATTGTGCAAAATCAGGGGTAAAAAAGCGCAGCAAAATTGCAGGTAAAATAGCAGAAAAATACTGGGTAAAATTCATGGTAGAATTGCTGCAAAATCGCTTTTTTCAGTGGCCGTAATTGCCGCTTTTTTTTCCTATCAGCAAAATGCTGATAACACTATTTTTGCCATGATATATTGGTGCATCCATAGTATGTATAGTATATAGACCGTTACTAGTGGAGGAGGTTCAGAGACTCCTAGCTGAAGCTATGGGAGGCGGGACAGATCTAGAGTGTCCTCAGCTGTCATTCTTAGAACACTACCTGGGGTGGGAGGTACAGACCAGGAGTCTGACTCCTCCCACAACAGTGATCAGGGAGGAAAATCGCAGCTTCCTGGAGGGAAGAACTACAGAAGGGATTGTGCAAGACCAGTGGCTGGAGGAATAGCAGCCACCGGTCTTACAAACAGCAGGGGAGCAACCCCCCTGGAGGTATTCCCCAGTGTTAGCTCGGGGTAAAGTATCAGCACCACAATCGGTAAACCCTGAGCTACACTCGGGAATACCCTGCAGCGTTGCTTACTGGGATCCCTTCTGCACTTAAATAGCTTGTCCTGCACTCCTGCGATTGTCCCCCCTGCAGCGTCCCCGGCCATCTCCTCCGGCCGATGCCGACATCTGTCTTCGGGGTTACCCTGCGACGTCAGGGGTTGGACGTACGGGGATGGAACTGGCAGAAATTTAAAAATGACAAAAAGTGACATTCACTAAATTCACTAAAATCACATAGTATAACATTACTGTATCAAACCATTTCACATACATTTTGTCCGAGTGCTTTTGTCCTGTGCCCTGCCGTGCATTTTTACTGTTCTTTCTGCCTGGAAACTGAGGCATCCAAAAAGCGGCCCTTTATTATTTTATTATTATTATTATACAGTATTTATAAACGCCAATAGTTCGCTCAGCGCTGTACATTACAAAGGGGGGACAGAACATGTGACAGAACAATACCAATACAATGCAAAACATAAGGGGATTGAGGGCCCTGCTCTTTCGAGCTTACAATCTAGGAGGGAGGGGATGGTGGCACAGGAGGAGATAGCTGTGGGGGATGGAGTGGTAGAAGAGTGGAGGAGGTCGGCAAGTTAGCAGGGGGTGGGGTAGGCTCTGAAGAGATGGGTTTTCAGGGTGCGCCTAAAGGAGAGGAGAGTAGGTGATAATCTGATGGGTTGGGGCAGGGAGTTCCAGAGGATGGGTGACACCCTGGAGAAGTCCTGGAGGCTGGCATGGGAGGAGGAGACCAGGGAAAACTAGAAAGAAGGAGTCTTGTGAGGAGCGGAGTGTGCGTGCTGGGCGGTACTTGGATATTAAGTCAGTGATGTAGTTCGGGGCAGTATGGTGGACGGCTTTGTAACGTCAGCGTTAGGATTTTGAATTTGAATCGGAAGCCAGTGGAGGGATTGGCAGAGAGGGGGTGGCGGAAACGGAGCGGTTGGAAAGGTGAATGAGTCTGACAGCCGTATTCAGGATCGACTGAAGCGGGGCGGATAGCCAGCGGCGAAGCAGGCCAGTGAGGAGGGAGTTGCAGTAGTCGAGTTGTGATATGATGAGGGAGTGGATGAGCTGTTTAGTGGTTTCTGGGGTTAGGAACGTGCAGATTTTGGCGATGTTGCGGAGGTGGAGTCTGCACGAGTTTGTTAAAGATTGGACTTGGGGTTGAAAGGATAGGTTGGAGTCCAGAATTACACCAAGTGGCCTGCAGGGCGGGTTTGATGGTAGCGTTGTTGGATGTGATGGAGAAATCAATGGGGGGTGGTGTCCGCGCTGGGGGGAAGACAAGAAACTCGGTTTTGGAGAGGTTCAATTTAAGGAAGTGGAAAAAGTGTCAAAAGTGGTTTTAGACCGGCTAGAGAACAGTGATAGTAAATCAGAACCACTTGCAGAATTGAGTGATAATGAGATAATGATTTGTGGGGAAATTCGTCATCAGACACTGAAAACGATTTTGCGACTTTGCTCAGTGATGTGCGAACTTGGCGCTCTATTTTCAAATTTCAGTGTTTTTGGTTTGATTATATTATTGAATTAAATTTATTATTATATTATTATTTTTTATGATTATTTATTAAATTATAATTTATGATTTCGTGTTTTCAAATTTTTAACATACCCGGGATGTTTACTAGACTCTTGTTTGGACAGATTTCAGTGAGTTATTCCTAAAAATTACAGGCCTACAATAAAAAAAAATACATATTTCTATGCAAAAAAAGTACCGCTTTGAGCACAGAAATACTGACATAATCAGACCGCTAGGGAGGTTAACGGTTTTTATTTGAAAACCATCACCTTATATTTCAGATCAACTACTGAGTGAACCAGAAGATGGATGACATATTCAGTGAAGGTAGGAGATCTGCAGCAAGGACATGGAAAACGTTTTTTGCCTGGACATCTGCTTTAAGTCTACTGTTAGCCCATCTGTGGCCAGTCCAGAGTTTTTTTTTTCTTGGTTTGCATAGAGATGGTGAAGACTAGACCATCTATCTGATTTTATGTGCTGTTGGTGTGCCCTCTGGGGATATTTCCCCTCACTTCCTGTTGTGTTTGTCACCTTTTAAAGTGCCTATAAATTCTCTATGTTTATTTTTACTTACAGGTAAGCTTATAATAAAGCTTTAGCAAAAAATTATATGGAGATCCCAGAGAGGGTTAACCATTTGAAAGAAGTTCTATATTAGGACCATAGCGGTATATATCCAAAAAACATCTCTTTATTACAAACATCACAACTGAATAAAGTATAAATAACAAAGATACCTCCACCAATTCAATTAAATGACAACATTGTCAGATGTAAACAATCATAGCCTGGGCACACATGCACACCACAAAACTCTCACCTAACGCGACATATTGCCAATACATTTAATTAATAACTGTTAAGGTAAGTAAAGTTTACTGTAGCTGGGATAACGCTAGGGATCAATTGATGGTAAACACAAACGGGAAAAAAACCCACTTAAGACTCCAGCGCTATGACAATAAGTAATTACAACTACCTGGAGATACTATGGTCTCAAGCCTTAGGATGTAAATACCTCCAGTGCTATTTCAACTAGTGATTGTGGGCACTAATGATTGGCTCGACACTTGGTGGGGGGGGGCTGGAGGTAAAAACACTGGCAGGGAACAGAGAGGAGGAGGATCGAGGCTGCACTGTGCAAAACCATTGCACAGAACAGATAAGTATGACATGTTTGTTATTTTAATATTTTTTTTTTAAATGGAAGCTTTAATATCACTTTAAAGAGGACAAACAAATGTCAACCATCCCAATCTATAACTGGCATTTGCAGCAAGCAGCGTATGGAAGAGCACCGCATGTCAAAAAACAACAAACAAAAATTCCCAGCTCACTTACCAGCCAGCCTGCAGCAAACCAAATTACCCTGTCTAACAGTTCTAACAAGGGATTAGTTTGCACACATTTGCAAATATATGCGTACGCTGCAGAGGCCACTTCGTGGTACCCCAGTATATCTGCAGTCCTAACTCTAAACATGTTGGAGCACATATATAACAATGGATAGATTAAGGACAGGTATGCCTGGGAGCCAACCCTTCCTTAAAGATATAGGAACGCACTGGACACCCAGTAATAGCACAATGACAGTGAATGTATGCAGTGTTTGTCCTCAGCAATTCACCAACAGTACAAATGGCAACCACTCCAGTCTATAACTGGCCTTTGCATCAAGAAGCGCATGGAACTAGCCCTGGAGTCCAGTGATGTCTTCACAGCACCACCATCTTTGCTGTGGGGGCCAGCTGTGATTTGAGCTCCCCATTGTGCATGCAAGAGATCGTGCTGTACTGTCAGATTAGTCCAGCAACCTCTTGGGACATGTCCCAGAAGGTTGTGTGTGTGTGGGGGGAGGGGGGGCAAACTTACACAATACTCACCTAGGCAAGAATTGTGAAAGTGGGAGTGGGTGCCAGAAAAAGGTACCATTTCCACCCAAAAAAGAAAAAAAAAAACTTTTAAATGTGGGGAGGGGAATCGAAAGGCATATTAGCACTTCTTTCACTTTTAAGTGAAGGTCTACTTTAAGCTGGTCATACACGGGTAGAATTTTGTTTAACTGCCTCCCGCCCGCCATATAGTAATGACGGATTCAAGGCGGTTCTCTCGTTCTGGGAGGACGTCATATGATGTCCTCCCTTTCTAACCGCGCATGCGTGGCTCCCGGAGTGTGCAGCGCGGCGATCGGCGGTGCACTGTGTCCCTTGGACACAGCGGATCACCGGTCCACAGAAAGAGCCGAAAATGTAAGCTCAGTCATGTGATCAGCTGTATCCAATCACAGCTGATCACATGTAAACAGGGAAATGCCAGTTATCGGCATTTCTCTCCCCACGAGCTGTCACGCTGACAGCTCGAGAGGAGAGCCGGTAATCAGCATTCCTCTGAGGGGTCATGCACACTGATCATCAGAGCACTGATGATCAGTGTGCCCTGATGATCTGTGTAGCCCCAGCAGTGCCACCTGTCAGTGTCCATCAGTGCCAGCTCTCAGTGCTCATCCATGCCTCCTGCCAGTGCCCATCAGTGCCACATTTCCATGCCCATCAATGCCACATATCAGTGCCCATCTGAGCTGCCTTTCAGTGTCACCCATCAGTGCCAGTCAGTGCTGCCTATCAGTGCCGCCTAACTGTGCCAGTCAGTGCCGCCTATCAGTGTGCATCAGTGCCACCTATCAGTGCCCGTCAGTGCCATATATCAGTGCCATATATGAGTGCTGCCTATCAGTGCCATATATGAGTGCTGCCTTTCAGTGCCCATCAGTTATGCCTGTCAATGCCCATCAGTGCCACCTACCAGTGCTTCCTCATCAGTGCCACCTATCAGTGTCCATCAGTGCAGCCTATCAGTGCCCATCACCACAGCCTCATTAGCGCACATCAGTGAAGGAGAAAAAATCACTTATTTACAAACATTTATAACAAAAACTAAGAAAAAACATTTTCTTTCCAAAATTTTCAGTGGTTTTTGGTTTGTTTAGGAAAAAATAAAAACCCAGAGGTGATTAAATACCACCAAAATAAAGCTCAATCTGTCACAAAAAAATGATAAAAATTTCATATGGGTACAGTGTTGCATGACCGCACAATTGTCATTCAAAGTGCAACAGCGCTGAAAGCTGGAAATTGGCCTGGGCAGGAAGGAGGTAAAAGTGCCCTGTAGGCTAGTGGTTAAATAATTTGATTTTGGAATGTTTGTCAGATTTTCTAATAGTTAATGGGGTCAAATCAAAGAATGTTTTCTACAGTAGTGACAACAAAAATCGAAAGAGTAGTATGGAGACTTTTTCTGGAACAAACAGCATTCTAATAGTGAATGCGGTTTTCTTTGGAACAATTCCGTTCATTCCAAAATTGCACGTTAAAGGAAAATTTTAATTTTAAGTACTTTTGAACAACTTTTTTCTCTGATGGCATCAATGAATGTACCGAGGAAATTTTTTTTACAAATGTCTGTATGAAAATCTGTTGGTGTAAGGCCAGGACAAGGCAGGACATCTTCCCAACAAAGATCTCACCAGAATAGATGTTCCCATTGAATGATTTCCTTTTCAGAGCGCTCTTGATTGTTTATTTAATTGTTATATACTAGGGCCAAAAAGGCTGCTCACTTTGCAATAAAAGTTGCACTTTGCAAAGGAATATGCAAAGAAATTTTCCCTGGAGCTTAGTAAATGAACTTGACGATCTACTGACTTCCATCATCTAAACATGTGCAAGTAAAAATGCTGTTTTGTTATTTTCCTTGCGCGTTTTTTGGGGTATTCTATGCAAAGTGAAACTTCATCACGTTCACTAAGCTTTTTTGACTGAGGTGTCAGTCAAAAAAAAAAACCCACATATGAAAAACATATCAACATGCAGTATATAAAAAATGATACATTTATTAGTTAAATGTTCCCCAGGATAATGGCACGACCCTACATCATAAATACAATTTTTTAAAAATATATATTTTTTTGGCTATTGCTGTTGTTTTTTTAATGGATTTTATGTGTCTTTGTTGGTGAGGGGGTTGCCATTATTCTGGAGGATATTTGGGAAATAAAGGTATTATTTTTGATTTTGATATATGTTGATATATTTTTTCATATGGAGATTTTTTTGACTGATACCTACAGTTCTCACTTTTTTGTGCAGGTTATAGTTTACATCTCGTAAAAAGGAAAAAAAAACCCGACAGTTTATTGGATAGCTTGCTAAATATTTTTCACAAGTTACCATTGCCTTGGGTTTCAATGATGTCTTTCATATACTCAAGGCTGGCTGCTGCTGTGATGTCTTTTTTTCTTTGTACTGTATTTATTTTTCTTATGTTATTGCGGACTGTGACAAGTTCAAACATAATTCATCGATTGCATTTCTTTCTCTGCTACCCATTACATTGTTAGCTGTAAATTCAGCCATATAATTTAGGGATATACTATGAATACAAATTCCTCCTATTCATGCATGTACAAATTGCATATTGGAAATGAGAGGTGTTATTTACCTAATGATAGCTCAGCCAGTGCAGCACTATCATCCCTCTGGCAGCTAATCAAGACTGGAGATGTGCTAGATTTAATTTATGAGTAGAATGCATGCTTGGCCATGTTCTGCAACATAGCTGTATTTATTTGATCAGTCATTAATGAAATTACTTGAAACAACTAGTTCTTCTGTATTACATTCTGTCAATGTAAAGTGGTTACATGATGTGATTCCCAGTGATAGGTTTATTTAAAGGAAAACAACAAAAAACAGTCAATGACCCTTCACCACACAGGTGTTGCAATCAGCATTCCTCTTATGATAGGGGGACACTGATAACAGGTCTGTGATGTACAGCTGCAGATCTCTCTCTCTCATTCACTGAAAGGCTTTTATCTGATCTTGACACATATTCACACCTGCAGGGCACCTACCATGCTACTGCAAGATGTGACAGCAAACACAATCATCTCTGGGATGGCTGCTTGACACACATGATCTGACAGTCCTCACATTCGACCATCCACCTGTGTGTTCTTTTTGTGTGTTATCTGTGTGTTCTTTTTACACCTGTGTGTTTCTTTTTCTACCTGTGTGTTCTTTTTTCCACCTGTGTGTTCTTTTTCTACCTGTGTGTTCTTTTTCAATCCACCTGTGTGTTCTTTTTTTCTCTCAAAGTATCATCCATTACAGCTCTCAGTGGTTCCTCCCTTGGTGCTCCACCACGCTAACCAGGCCCAGGAGCAGACTTCATAAGGTTAGGTTCTCAGGGCCATTACAGAATATTGCTTGTTCTAACACTTCTTAATTACAGAATGGGGCACATTCATAAAGCAGTAATATAGCCTTACTGTGGCCACTTTGATGCCTTCAAAAGAGACTCAAAGAGAAGCAGGAGAAGCAGGACTGGATCTAGCCTGTCTGATGTGGGGGTGCAGTAAAAAATGTCAAGTGGGCAGAGGATGGGAGGTCAGCAAAGCAGTGTACAGGGGGTCATCAGAGCAAAGGATAGGGTCAGCAGTTTGTAGTGCAGTGTAGTGTACAGAGGTCATTAGTTTGTAGGGCAGTGTACAGGGGTCACCAGAGCTGAGGACAGGGTCAGCAGGGTGGAGGACAGGGGTCAAAACTTGCAGAGCAGAAGACAGGAGGCACTGCTGGAAAGAGAGAGGACAGGGATCACTGCTGGCAGGGCAGGGGACAGGGGTCACTTTTGGCAGGGCAGAGAGCAGGGGTCGCTTCTGGCAGGGCAGAGGACAGGGGTTAAAACTGGCAGAGAAGAAGACAGGAGGCACTGCTGGCAAGGCAGAGGACAGGGTTCACTGCTGGCAGGGCAAAGGACAGGGGTCACTTTTGGCAGGGCAGAGATCAGGGATCACTTCTGGCAGGGCAAAGGACAGGGGTTAAATCTGGCAGAGAAGAAGACAGGAGGCACTGCTGGCAAGACAGAGGACAGGGTTCACTGCTGGCAGGGCAGAGGACAGGGGGCACTTTTGGCAAGGCACTCAACAGAGCTCCTCCCCACACAACACATAGCTTAGATCAGTATATTGTCAGACAAGGACAGTAGGGCAATATAGTGATAGTATTGTGGCAGCTTAGGGCAGTATAGTGGCAGGTTAGGGGGTGGTATAGTGTCAAATTAGGGAAGTTTAGTGGCAGGTTAGGGTAGCATAGTGTCAAATAATTACAATCTGGGGGAAGGGGGACATAGAACACCCCAGCACCCCCCTGGATCTGGCCATGAAGAGAAGCCTTAAACATTACAATGAATAGGAAAATGGAGCTAGGAGGAGGAGAGCCTGGACACATGCCCTGTCAAAGTGACTTGTTTCTTCTCCAATCACAAAATGTTCTCTGCTGCACTATGCAGAGATCAGAATACATAGATGAGTCTTTTTTTTTTTCTTTTTTTCCCTGTTGACCTATTGTATTCTTACAGCAGGGAGTCTTCCCCGCCGTCAGAGTAAACTGATCAGTGCTGCCGATCTGCAGCACTGATGAAACGGGTAAAAACCTGACAGTGATTGTACAGAAATCAATAGGTAGGTCAACTTCTGTACAACCAAAGCCTCCATACATGGTTTGAAATGTTGCCAGTCCCTACTGAACCAGCCAAATTTCAATCCATGTATATCCAGCCTAAACACTGCAATATTCTGTGGAAAGCAGTATCTGCACCTTGCTATTAATAGGCTCCTAAGTGATTACATTTATTTTAGAAATGGTTTATGGCATTTGAAAAGTGTCTTTCTAACCATTTAGAATGCCTTGAGCTTGCAGTCACTTTTGCAGCAGGTGTTTTCTTATTCTGGGTCACAATCCTGCGCAATGTCCTTTTATCTCTTTCAGTCATTGACCATGTGGACAGCTTATGTTTATCAGACGTATTCCCGGAAACTGTATATGCCGTCATATAACCTTTGATACTGTACCTTGTGACAGGGCAAATAAACTGGCAACTTCAGTCACAGCGGCACCAGCTAAGTGGGCACCAACAATTTGCCCTCTTTGAAGCTCAGTAAGCTCTGACATGACTCCATATTACTAGCAGCGCACGCAGTGAATGATGAAAGTAAGGCTTCCAACCTGTTAGCTAGGTGTCTCATCACACAGCGGAAGCAAAAGAATGTTACATCACTTCCGCTTTCAACGCAAAACATGTCGTCACTTTCACATCTACAAATCATGTAGTGTTTCCATTTTTTTTTTGTCTAACCCCTGTATATACATTTCCTTTTTTTTTTAAATGTATTTGATACATACAAAGTTTGAGGAAGAGGAGGAGGAGTGAGACAGGACATGCAGAGAACCATAAGCAACCAAAAACTATGTCTATGCAAGGACTGATTCATTCAATCAAAAGGCAATGCTGTTCCTGCAAAATTATCCAGTAAACATTCCTTTTGGCTCCAAATAGCGGCTTCAAGTTTAGCATGGCATGCTTCATTTCCAGAAATTAATACTTATTTCTTATGAAAAGTAAATGTTACATCTACAGTTCAGCTTTTAGTCATGCTGCAGTGCTAATAGAAGATTAATGGTTGATATATGACAAGTACTCTTTATTGCATGTTGCCATTCTTTGATTTATATACCTGAAGTTTGGGTAATTGATAATACTCTTCATTATATCCCTTTATAGTTTTATTTGAGCTCCATAAAGAGCTCAAAGTGCTCAAGTTGTTTAATCACTAAGAAGACAGAACAGATATATGAATAGGGACTGTTGGAACATACTGTAAATCCCCATTTTA